TAATAATAATAAAGTTTGTAAGGACCAGGAGAAAAGCCCATCTTGCCACTTTTCTGTCTGAAAACCTCAAAAGATGTTTCAGTTTCTTCATGACAGGGAACCAAGAACATTAGGTCAAAAAACTTCCAAACAGAAAATCCCCGGTTTTAATAATTTCGCCTCCAAGTTTTCAAGCTAATTTTAAGAGCACAAGCTTTGCATGTTGCTACTAGGGTGTGTGGCTGAAGAAGGGCTACAGAACATCCGTATCCCGAGCAAATGAGAACATAGATCTTTACTCGTAGGCAACTTAAAAATCAATCAAAGAAGTACAAAATGTATTTGGGGGGTATCAAAATGCAACACAACAGTGCAGTGGAGATCTTTGAGGAGGGTGTACGATGGGGTAGGGTATAACCAGAGAAGGGGGAGAGGGATCCAGGTCAAGGGAGATGGCAGACAAAGGCAGGAGGTCTGAAGCAGCCGGAGGTGTCTGGTGCAGCCAGGAGGCAAGGTGCACAGAGGAAGCCAGGCTGGGAGGTTCGAGAGATCAGAAAGAGTGTGTGCTGCTAAGCTAGGGTATCCGCACTTCCTCGCACAGGCACCACCATATGGCAGTAATGTGAGCTGCAGAGAGACCACAACACTCAGGGTGGGGCCGCCGGAGTACAGTCAGGGGCTGCGTGACAATCCAGAAGATGGAAGAAGATGGAAGACACTGGGTGGGAAGAAGGGATCGAGTTAGGAGGGATTACTGAGGCAGGAAAAAAGAAAACCATCCCTTTTGGGGATGTGTGTGCACAAGAGAGAACAGTTACAGTAACTTGTTTCTAAATTACAATGCTAGGGATAAAATGTTTCCAGTGAAACATCTCACAATTTGTTAATTTCCCACGGAGGTTAGCACGTTCAGAGGACAAAAACTAATTAATTAAAAGGTATCGGATACAGAGCTTTATTTAAATAGAAAGAATCTCTCAACCAAGACTATATACTTGGTACAGAACCAAGATCAAAATCTTGAGGTTGCAGATAGTTTTCATACACTATCTATGTTTTCCTTTCCCCAGCCAATTTCAAGATTACTTTCCTTTCGGTCAAAAAAAAAAAAAAAATGATGATAATCTTGGTGAGAAAGACAGCAAGGGAAGCATTTTAATGTGTAATCAATCTGCCATAGTTACCTTACAAACAGACTTATTTTTTCCTGTCAAATTTAATCATCCCAAATGTTGAAGGAGTAATCAAAACCTTCAGGACCTATTTTACATGAATATAGAGACAGATATATCTTTATGTACATTAGAATAGTTTACTCTGGTTGCTTGAACTTCAATGTGTTGCCAACTTGAAAGGCTATGTTTATGGTGCACTCTTTTAGCAAATCAAACCAATACTGAGCAACAGCCCAGGCCACTACAATGACAGCGACGGTCCTTAAATGTTCCTTAAATTTGGATAATTCACTTGAACTCTAAGGAAAGAGAAACAGCTTAAGGACTTTCAGTGCTTAGCCCAACAACTTAAGAAGGGGGCAAAATGAATGTCCACAATATCCTTTCAAATTGCAGTGAGGACTTGGGGAGGGGGGCACTTGGCCTCACAAATCAGAATCATGGCATAATCATCTTCTGACATGAAGGCAACGTCAAACATTCCTGCAAAACATGAGTGTGTGAAGCCACCCGTGTGAAATGAGGAAGAAGCCCATCTCCTCCCTGGGGAGGTTCAAGTATCTTGGAACTGTTTGGAGAAGAGCAGCTCAGTGCAGATGGCAAAGACAGACACAGCTGCCCCAGGACAGAGGGAGCGTGACACTGCCAACAGGAGCAGAAATCTTCTTCCGCTCACATTCCTCCTTGAACGCAGACTTCCTTATACTAGAATGGAATTGCACTGGACAGATTTCTATATTGCCAGGTTTCAGTTGCAGGCAACAAAAACAAGTGATACGAAACAGAAATACATTCTGGGGCAATAAACTAGAAAAACGGAAAAGGCAGAAGGGTGGCTTATAGGCACGCCAGTCCTAGTGCAGGCGCCCAAGATCCGGGGTGCCTGGAGTCCACGGGAAGCATGAACAGAGGAACAGGAACGTGGGCAGCACGCAGCCCACGTTAGCTGTGGCTACTGCAGCCATTTTTGTTGCGGTTTCTTCTGGCATTGAGTGCGTTCTTCTTTGTTGTCAAAGAGTACTCAACTGTCACAGCACCCATTTCTCTTAAAATCTTAACTTACTTTCACTGCTTCAAGTGTGAGAGCATGAATCTTTCTGAGAATCAACACAAAGATGTCTACTTCCAGATTTTTCTGTTTCTGTTCCACTTTTCTCCCCAAGACCACAATTAGATACTGGGTTAGTAGCTTATAGATTTTTACTTTATTTAGTTGTATATACTGTATATAGACACGAGCCACGTGTGTACCATGTATGTAAGACCTGTGCCTGCCCAGGCAGGACGTGCATGCATGTATCCATAACTTGCTTCAGCGTAAGACTGACCACACCCACACACCCACCACATACATGCACTTCCTCCTCCTGAAAAGCTGAAAAACAGTGACTTGAAAATATTTTCTATTCTATTGTTTCTAAGCTTAGAAAAAGTTATGGCAATAAAGTTAAAATTTTTTACTTTTAAAAACTGGGTATTTTAAAGTTCTTGAGTCTAATTTTAAATGGAAAGTTGACTTTAAAATGTCAGATTATAAATAAGCTTCTCATGTGTCCCGATGGTTGCAACCACATCTCGAATGTGGCGGGGGAGGACTGAAGGACCCATTTTCTTCATCTAGTTATATGATTTAGAGTGACAAAGGACAGAATCATTTCTATGTAGTTCTTAAGTACCAAAATCAGTAAGAGGATTAAGACCTGTATTTATGCTAATTTATAAATTATTACTTTATGGTATGGACTTAAACCAAACTCCAGCTTGAATATATCTTTAATAAGTCCAAACTTCCCAGAGTAAGGCTTTCTAAATATTATCTTTGCTGGGTGTTGAGAGTAACTAAGGCAACTCTTCTGGATGACTTACATGACTTTAACTTGAACCTCAAAAATTCTATTACTCCCACGGTGATGAGAGGAGTGAAAGAAGGAGTGTGTGTGAAAGTAAGTGTGTGAAAGAGAGACAGAGGGAAAGAAAGGAAAAATAACAAAGTTCTGTCTGAGCTCCTATAACTTGTTTAAATCATAAAAGTTAAATTTTAAAAAGGCGGGGGAGGGGACGAATACTACATTAAGAAAAGACCTAGCTAGTTTGCTGGTTAATACAGGTTTAACAAGGGTTTCACTCTTCCTATTTTATGAAGTCTATACCAGAGGTATTTCCTGGACTGCCAAGTAATAGCACATGATTTCATTTTTTACAGTGGTCTACTCCACTTTTGTTCATATGGAAAAGGTGAGGCTTCAACTACAAGAGTTTACAAGAGATCAGAGCTGCAGGAGTTGTCAGGATGAAGATATCTGATCTGCCCATTGGCCAGGGAAGAACCAGGGAGTGACCACTGACCCTCAAGATAACCAGCAAGGAGGGAGATGGGAAGCACGAAGGGGCAGGGTAGAGTCTACAGCAAGTTAGAAATTGAGGCAGTAAATCCAGACTTCTAATACCAGCCCTGAGACATAGAATACCCAAGACACAGTTTATAAAAATTATACCAACAAAGAAACCCTTGAACTCTAAGGGACAAACTCCACCCTTCCATTGTATTTTCTCACTTTCATAGGTAGAAGTACGGAATTATTTCACTGTTAAGATTTTAGGAGAAACGATGTTTGGTGACCAGCTCTGTGCATGGCTTCTGTGCAGATGATTAAAGTTCTAAAGAAAGGCATTATAAGCAGTTTTATACTCATCTTTCAATTATTCAATTTAATTTTTAAAATTTTGAATTGTAACTATGAGAAAAAAATAAAAAGAAAGTTTCCTGTCCTTGTGAACTCACAGTTTGGGCTAAAGAATAGAATTGTGGCTCCTATCATTGGATCACCATGAAAAACAAAGAAGAAAGGAAATTGCATTTTACATATCCAAAGTTATGCATACACACAATGACCATAAATGCTTAGGTAAGCCTTCCGATGTTTCTCTGACCACTCAGAAACTCTATTCTATACAGGGGACACTGGGCACTCCTAAAGTTAAGGAACATCCCTCGAGTCAAAGAAAAATAAGAGAGTAAGGTGTCCACAGCCCAAAGCCCACATGCTCTTTCCCACACACCTGGATGTCTTACATTTATATTTAGTTGTATGATTTTACTGCCAAAGATACAGGGATCTATACCTATGGCAGTGAAATTAGCTTCTGCACTGTCTTGTGCTGAAGCTAATATTAAAATGGGCTGGCATGCCCACATACCCGGCAAGTGGAGTGATGAAGGTCCTAACGTAGGATCACACGTTTGACTGGTATCTGAAATGAGGAACCTGTGAAAAACGCACACATGTTAGGAAAGACCTACTAGGTCTAATGTGTGCTGAACAAGGTAAGAGGGAAGTGGGGGGTGGTCCTGCAGAACGTGGACCTGAGGCGTGATGCTGTAATCCAACAGTGAGCCTTTCCTCATGCTCTACCTGACATAGTCTTCTCAAGTCTCTATTTCAAGAAACCACAAGTCTAGAATGTGGAAGAAATAGTAATGCTTCTTAACACCAAATTGTCCTTTCCTGCCTAATGAGGCCAGAGCTGCAGCCGGACAGAATGCCTGCTGATGGCACACCCCCTTCTGCCCACCTCTAAATGGGGGTCCCGCCACCTCCTATGCCAGCCACGGTGTGGGCTTCTGGATGTGGCTATCTCCCACACATGATGTGAACAAGCTGTTGGTTTTAAGTTAACATAAGACCACACTGCATTGCACCACTGCTGATAAAAAAAAATAGCAAGATCAGAGCAAGGCAGAGGTCTTCCAACACATCTTTTTTAAAGGAAATGGGCAAATATTTAGGAATGAGGTTTCTGACCATTTGACTGATGACTGTCTTTCTGACCCATGTTCTTTTCCAGCTTGAGAATTACATCCAGGACAACATGAAGAGAGAAATGGTAGAGATGCAACAGAGCGCGGTGCAGAACCAGACCGCTGTGATGATAGAAATAGGAACAAACCTCCTCAATCAAACCGCGGCGCAAACCCGGAAGCTGACAGACGTGGAAGCACAAGTAAGTCACGGAGCACAACGCACGTAACGGTCCAGCTAGACTAGCGACTAGCAAGACATCAGGCCGCATGGTTACCTGATTAAATGGTGGAAAAATGAAGAAAGCTTGAGGGTAGCAGGAAAACAATTGGTAAGAAAATAAGAATTTGTGGTACATAAGGATTTAAAATCCGTAAATACATTTTCTTCTTCTTCTTTTTTTTTTCTCTTAAAGATTTATGTATTTTAGAGAGTGGGGCGGCAGGGGGAGGGGCAGAAGGAAAGGGAGAGAGAATCCCAAGCAGACTCCCCACTGAGCGTGAAGCCAGACAGGGGGCTCGATCCCGCGACGTTGAGACCATGACCTGAGCCGAAATTAAGAGTCGGACGCTCAACTGACTGAGCCAACCACACGTCCCCATTTTCATCTTTAATACTGAGGTTAAATTAATTTTCCTACTAACGGCATGTGAATCATTTTGTACGATGCATGCTGGACAACTACAAGACAAATGCTCCCCTGCCTCACTGGGTACCTTTTGGACTCTGGGTTAAGTCCTTACCTTGTTTCGTGCATTTGAGAAATGAAAGGCACTGAAGAAGAGTGCAAGACATTTTGTTCTTCAATCTAACTTTTAAGGTAAAGCCAGATTTCAAAGAAGTATGAAAACAGTTTGTGGTATGAGTTCATAGACAAAGCTGCAGCAGCTGTGGCACAGAGGGCTTACCCATCCCCCGATGGCTCGCTTCCCGCCATCAGCCAGCTGAGTGAGTCTGAGCAAGGCACTCAGCTCCTGGGGGCCTTGGTGGGTTTAACTGTAAAGTGAGGGCTAGGTCTTACAACTGGCTGCTAAGTGCTCTTTTAGCTTTCAGATTTTACGAGCTCCTAATTAACAGCAGGAGGAGACAGGAATATGAAAATAACAAAAGAACAACACCAAGACACTAAGCATCAAAACATTGAAACAAAATTCACTGCGTCATGCCAAATGACACACAATGTGTGACTGAGTAAGAATAGTCTGGGGGTGGTGGGGGCACCTGGGTGACTCAGTTGGTTGAGCATGTGACTTTGTCTCAGGTCATAATCTCTGGGTCCTGGGACCAAGCCCTGCTTTGGGATGGGGGTGGGGGGTGTCCCTGCTCAGCAGGGAGTCTGCTTTTCCCTCTTTCTGCTCCTCTCTCCACTCATGCTCTCTATGTCTCTCTCTCAAATAGATAAGTAAAAACACCAAAAAAAAAAAAAAAAAAAGAAAGAAAGAAGGAATAGTCTAGGTGTGGGAAAAAAAAGGACTGTTGGTGGAATCTATTAAGAGGCTCTCAGTTCAAGTCTCTTCATTGGTGAACCTGCTTTCTGGTTCCTAACCCTGGATTCTTTATAGGCTTATGAAGTTAGTACCTTCCTGCTCTGAGTTGTAAGCAATGTTTTAAAAAAAAGAGGGAGAGAGAAAGAGAATACTTAATAGTAAATAATTTCTATGATGCATTACTTCTATATGCTACTTCAGCCAAAAGAAATGCTAGACATCAGCAGAAGGGGATATGAGGTAAGAGAAATGATAAGCCTCCCAACTAGAATAAGGTCACGTCTAGAATGGTACAGTTGTCCTTTCATTGTCCCCCTATGAACTGTTGGATAAAGTAGGGAAAACAGTAGGAAAGTGGCTGGAGAATAAAAGATTTTTATCTGAGGACAGAATAAGAAGTTATTTCTTTACCAAATCTTTCCACAGTATTAGAACAATGTAGGGAAAATGTAACTACCCTATACGATGGATCACAAGGTATGAAAACTGTAATCCCAAGAAGTGATAAAAGCTAAAAATGAAAAGATAAAAAATTTAAAGTAAATGTAACAATATATCCATAGTCAATTATTAAAATAAGTTAATAATGTTTAAATCATATGCCCCACCTTTTGATAGCAAAACTAGTGGGAAATCAACCTCATCCAAAAAAATGTCTGAGGAGTATAACATTCCTTATATTTTCAGACAATGGTAATCAAGGGTTAGACATGAAGCAATGCCATAACCTTTACGACATCCTGTGTAAGGCAGGCTTCCTAGCTTTCATTGAGCTTTGGTTGGGTCACATTATTTTTTAAAAATCTATTGTAAAACTAGATATTGTATGATCTGTGATAACAGGAAAATTGGAGGGTGACTGGAAAGAAAACAGCCTATTATGTCCAGCTAAACACATTAAAATGGCTGAACCGAAGCAAGGACATCAAGGGACCGAATTATGCACCAAATATATTGTAGGCACTACTTAGCAATTACTGTGCAAAATGGGTTTAAATCCAAAATCCAAAAAAATAAAATTTTCTCATTAGAAGATTCCTGTAGCCTGTCAGAGTGAGAAGCTATTCCACTGGACAATGAGGGATGGGTAGAGGTCCAAGATCTTAAAGACCACAGACAAGCACCTGACGTGGATAATTTAGACAGTCGCCTACTGCTGGAGGCCTTGGGGAAGGGATTAAAAAAACAGCACCTCTGATCCCAGGTCAGTCAGGACCTATATGCCATCCTCCCCAGCTCTGGCCCATTGTGCTCTTTTTATAGCTCTTAGGAGTTGAATAAAGGAACCCAGTTTCCAGTTCCTTTTACAATGACCAACATAGAGTATTTGGGCCCAAAGAAGATATAAGCCAAATCTATCATCCAGGTATTAACATTAAAACCCAACCTTTCTTCAGGCCAATGCCTTTACTCATTCATAAGACTGTTCATGGTATGAACTCATCCTGCTTTGACTAAGGACAGGACTATCCCTACAGCTGCCCAGTGGGGGCTGGCCAAGCCTTTTATGAATGACACAGACCCTGAGCAAACAATGGTTCTTTCAAGGACCCTTATTCCTGGGCAACAATTCTGCCTTACACTTACACGTGATGTCACATCCTGAATAACCATGCCCCAGAGGATGTGAGTAACAGACTCTTCCTGCTAGAAGGCAGCCAAACACCAAAGAATTCAACCTCAGACCTGTTAGAACACAATGGGAACAGCGATATTGCATATGGCGTATACAGAGAGGCCCCAGCAAAACTGAGCTCCCACTTCACAGCGATGTATTATTGTTTCCTAATTGGTTAATATGATTTTTATAATAGAGAGAGAGAGAGAGAGAGATGGAGAACAAAAAAATAAAAGGCTGAACAAGTGACTACAAACTAGGAAATGCCGGGCTAAAAATGAGCTATGGTTTTATAGAACGGAAGCATGTGACTTCTAATCATGTTGCCTCCTGATAAATAAGAGAACAGCATTAGGTTTTGAGTGGAAGCAAAACCTTTTTCATTTATCAACAATTTCTGATGCATTAAATATGACCATTTTATACTCCCACTTGTATCACTGTGTGAAAAGAAATGCTAAAATATGGCAGAACAAGAGTAACAGCATTATATTATTTGACACAAATACCACTGTCCGGAACTATTAAAACACTTTCTAAAAAAAGACACGGTGGGGAAAAAAAACACAAAACACCATATTCTGATGCAATCCAGGACTTCAGGCCTTTTCTGAAAATGGAGAATATGCCAAAATTAGATACTTGGGGTAAATTAAAAAAAAATGCTTTAGTTATGTTTTCCTACAATTTAGCTGACTTAATTAAAAGGAAGTTATATGTAACTTTAAACATGACAAAGAGGAATTTTATTTTGTTACATTTAGGTATTAAATCAGACAACAAGACTTGAACTTCAGCTTCTGGAACATTCCCTTTCCACCAACAAATTGGAAAAACAGATTTTGGATCAGACCAGTGAAATAAACAAATTGCAAGATAAGAACAGGTAATAAAAACACAAAAAATTACAATTCAGAATTGCACACTTTCTAGATCTAAAAGCCTATTTCATGTGACTATTAATTATAAGCATGGCTTCCAAAATCACGACAAAATGACGGATGTCTTAATGTGTAGTGTCAGGATCCGACACCTTGTAAGGGAAAGGAAGGGAGAGTGTCTGGGAGGAAATATGGAGGTTACCATGCCTTCTAATCCAGTCTTCAATTTTTTCATTCTCCAGCCCCTTAAAGATTGTCTTCCAATGATTCCCCAAACTCTGCCTCAATACTGCGCAATTTAATCTGTGACAAAATACTGCCAGTGTCATGGAGTAAAAGTAACACTGGCCTAGGCATTTTAATAGTTCCTTTGCCTCTGAGAACTTTGTTGTTCCCAATGCAGAATGAGCCACAGCTGGAAAATTACAAACTATAAACAGTGCACATTTCATGATACAATTGTTACTCCTAAAACATATGATAAAGTAAAAACAGAATTTAATAATAAATATAATATTGATATTTAAACAAGATCTAGAAAAATCCCAAGAAAATCATACAAAAACAAACGTGGGATGATCAGTGGGGATGGTTTTCAAAGGTTTATTGCAGTTAGGGGCATATACGGATAATTGTGTTTATAAACCTGTTTCTAACCAAGACATGTCTACATGACAGGGAGAATGGCCAGACAACAAGGTACTCTATTTCACAGCTACTTAATTTCAATTTCATAATTCCTTATTCTTAACCAAAAATGATGATGAACTTCATGTCTTATAATCATTCTTTACTGTTAATCAGGAACTCAGATGAAATCATTCTTTCTGTTCTTTGGGTAACAAGTTTAACTCATTACTGACTTAGGGTCTTGAAGAGCAAATGGATTTTTAATATTTTTGCAAATAGTTTGATTAATTCAAATATTTTTCTTCAATGTTTCCACTTTTTTCCTTCAGCAAAGTAATAAATAAAAATTTGAAACCAACAATTGAGATATAACAATCTCTGCAATTTCATTTTCTTAAAATGGTCTTATTTAATAATGTTCTCTTATTTAATGATATTGCAGTAATGGGAAGCTACAGGAGCTGAATGATTACTCCAGTTGCCTGCCAGGACAATACTGTCCGGGCTATGACCAGTTTGCTGAGCGCAGCCTGGTCTTGAACACTGTCCCCTCCTTAAGTTTCTACTTCTATATGCTAAAACACTAATATCATCAGTTAAGTATGTCAGTTATGTCACCCGAGTATTGCCTTTGTAAATATTTGCCAAATCATATTGCCTTTTGCCTAGAGAAATGCAAATCTGATTCCCGAGTTTGGACACACTGTTTAATGTTTCCGCTTACTACAATTAAACCGTTACCCGCAGCTGGGATTGCTTTGAAAGTCAATCAACAACTTTCCTTGCATCTTTTGATCCTCCATGATCTGGTAAAATTGCTTTGTATGTTAGAGCTTTACGATGTATAAAACAGTAATTCCCACCAGCCCGTAGCTTGCTGTGTTTTCTGATTATTCTTGCATACGGGATCCTTCACATTCTTTTTCACTTAAATCTTTCACATTTTCTGCCAGTTTAATCACCATTTACCAATAACGCACTTTTCCAATACTTTGAGCCCACTTTTATATTACACTAAATTTAAACAACACATTTCCTCCATAAAAGCACCTTGTCAAATACACCTAATAAATTATTGTTTTAGTTTGCAATCCGCAGCTTGGATGGCAAACACCTCACTCAGAGTGGAGCTGTATATGGACCATTTCGGAATGGCCTGCCAAAGCACAGACCCTGAGAGAGAGAGCTTGCTATCAGCAGACTGTCATAGAAACCATACCTGCAGCTCTTAGCAGCTGCAGAAATCATCTCTTGTATCACAAATATGAAATGAAGGGACAATAATAAGGTCTCTATTAATCAGTGTAAGTCAGTAAAAATAAGAAAACCACACAGATGATTTTCCATCTTTCCATCTTTCAGTGACTTTGGCATGCTGTGTTTTGAGGTGTCTTCTATTTTGACTAGCCTAGAATTTCATTTGCAAGAACATCATTGTAAATATCTGTGGATGTTTTGCATATGTAACAAACAATACCTTTCAATTACTTTCAGCATTTCCCTCAAATACTGTCCAGCTCTTTTCATTACTGAATAGTTTCAAATGAAGTCAAAGTACTCATTAGGGTCAGTGTTTCCCTGAATATTGCTACTATCCAATTGTTAGGTTCACCAGCGAAGGTGAAAATTACAATGTGGTTTTCATCTTATCATTCTTTTTTTTTCTTCTAAAAATAAATGATTCAACTTATTTTTAAAACTTTTCAAATTTTCCAAATTTTCCCATTTTTCAAATTATACCAATTCCATGAAACTGTGATTACTATTGCCGTGATTACTGTTACTGAAAAGGGCTGCCACTGATACTGTCCCTTTCTGAGAAGCCTTGGTATTTCTGCCCACGCAGGATACCTTTCCCATATTTCTCATCAATGAGAGCTATGTTAATGGAAAGATAAGCTAAGCTTAAGTGCAACTTCTATCCTGAGGATCAAATTGATTCTCCTTGATCAGAAAATCAAATACTGAACTAAAGTGTGAGCTGTCAAACAAACGTGCATATGCCCCATGCTGCTCCACCTCCTTTCTCCCACCCCCCATCATCCTCAGCCATGGCCTTTGTGGCAATGTACCAAGTCCTTGCTATTAATTTACACTCTATTTTCATCTACTTTATCCTAGTTAACATTATCCTATTTAACTTTCTCTCATTAAAAAAAAATGCTGATCGTCACTCATTACAGGGATTCCCAAGCCAATCCGCATTTTGCAAAATACTATCTGGGACTCCTTGCCGCTTTACTGTGCTTCTGTAACTCATTACACATTTCCGGTCTCATAGCCCATGTGATTTAGGGTGATCTGATGCTGGCCTAAACTCTTTAATCCATGCTTGTACTTAACCTTAATATTAACTATTTTAGATCAAGATACAATTGCCCTCTGGAGCTATAGTGGTATAGGTTTTGGAGAAAGAAACTTTTTTCTTTTTTTAAATAAATATCCACCCTGGAGTGTTCATACTTTGGACCATGGGATTGTCCCATCTTTCTTTTATGCCTCCTCATGGAATATTAAAGACAATAAAAGACAGCTGTTTAAGAAATCTCAGCAATGTCATTTTGAAGGCAACATAGATTAGTGACTTAAAAATGCCCCATTTATTTTATGTTAATTGTCTAGGTCAAGTGTCACAGGAGTACTTCCAAAACATATTGCCTGAATGCTGATGGTACTAGAAGGGATTTTAGGGCAGAAAGGGAAAAGCTTTATGCATTTATTTTCAGGTTAACTTCTGCTTACAGCAAGTCATTTTGGTTTCTTAATTAATAAAAAGTATATACAATTAAAAAATAAGCTAATATCAAGAAAAATAATAAGAAACAACAGTTAAAATAAATATAACACTTATGAAAGTGGAGTGCAAATAAGTATTACAGTAAGTGATTATTTTTTGACTTGGTATCAGACTAAATACTTGCTGTCATAGACTGATCTCCAATGATCTAGGCTGGCATAAATTTAAGAGCTGCAATTGAGATTCTAATCGTGATTATTAAAACAGATTGTAACATTGTTAATGTTATAGGTAAGACCTACCATGGGTATCCAGTTTCTTGGCTGACTAATGTTGCTTGCAGGGTTAAAAACTCAGAAAATGTGACTTTCTCCCAAAAGGCATAGTAGGCTTACAAATTATTTGAACTATAAGGGACCTCAGAAATCATCATCTTGTCTACTGCATCTGTTTTTGGTATTTATTTCTACAGATGGAGAGTCACTTAGGTAGACATGCACCTAGACGCAGAGTAGGGACGACCACGTAACACAGGGAGTCATGCACAGACGTGAAGCTCTCAGCCTGCACTTTCCACTCACCATTCCACCTGCCCACGTGTGCTCCCAACATCAAGGCTGCCTTCTCAGTGAATAATTCCATAGCCCCCTACACCAAAACCATGGTCTTCAAATGCATGCCAGTGATAGCTTCTAATTATGGACCTTAGATTTTTATCAGGGTATTTTATCCTCATATCTATGTCACACTTATTTATGCAATGTTCTTGGCAAGTTTGAGAGCTTCTTCAGGGCTGCAGCAACACGTTCACTCTGGGAAGACAGAGTGTCTTGGGGAAGCAGAAATTCAATAAACATAAAAGATGATATAAGAATTATGAAACTAACTTGATGTCCATAAAGCAATCACTAAAATAACCATTATTTCCCTTTATAAGTTTCTTAGAAAAGAAAGTACTAGACATGGAAGACAAGCATATAGTTCAACTACGGTCAATAAAAGAAGAGAAAGATCAGCTCCAGGTGTTAGTATCCAAGCAAAATTCCATCATTGAAGAACTAGAAAAACAACTGGTGACCGCCACGGTGAATAATTCCGTTCTCCAGAAGCAGCAACACGATCTGATGGAGACAGTTCATAATTTATTGACTATGATATCAACGTCAAACTGTAAGTCAAGTTTACATATCATTTTTCCTTCAGTTTTAATTGCCATTATTTTGTAAGTGATAGTCTCAAAATTCCAAAAAATTATCATCTTTCAGAAAAGGACTATTTCTCTTACAGTTTCCTTTGAAAGTTTTACAGAAGCTCATCACAGAACCAATTAAAAAAGGAGGAAGTAATTTCACTCCAGGTTATTTACCTAAAGAATACAAAATCACTAATCCAAAAAGATATGTGTACCCCTAGGTTTATTGCAGCATTATTTACGTAGCCAAATTATGAAAGCTGCCCAAGTGTCCATAGGTAGATGAATAAAGAAGTGAATTCCATATATATTATGGAATATTATTCAGCCATAAAGAGAGGAAAATCTTGCCTTTCATGACAACATGGATGGAGCTACAGAGTGTTATGCTAAGTGAAATAAGCCAAAGGGCAAAGAAGCCAAATAAGCCAATAAGACAAAGACAAATACCATATGATTTCAGTCATATGTGGGGATTTAAGAAATAAAACAAATAAAGAAAAAAGCAGGGGGGGGGAACAGATTCTTAACTAGAGAGAACAAACAGATGGTCACCAGAAGGGACGTGGGGAAGGGGACGGGGAAAAGACGAGATGGGGAGTAAGAATACACTTGATGTGATGAGCACTGAGTGATGTACAGAGCTGTTGAATCACTGTATTGTACGCCCGAAACTATTATAACACTGTATGTTAACTGTACTGAAATTTAAATTTTTTTAAATGCTGCTCAGGGAGATAAAACAGAAAGAAGGAAGAAGGGGAGGATAGAAGGAATATATATTTACACTAATTAGTTACTGTGAGGCAAAACACCCCACACGTGCTTCCTGGGCTCAAAGAGCCTACTTTCTATTAGTTCCATCGCTATCTAGATGTATGAGGCTGGGTAAGTTGCAAATCCACCGTGGACTTGCTTTTTTTAAGTGGGAAAAACAAATCTAAACCCAGAGGACTGTTGTGAAGACTGACTTAATACTCGCAGTGACCAGCATAAAACTGGCACTCAAGAGATGCCAGCCCCCTTCCCTCAGCCCACCCTCAGATACATTTCACCTACTTTATTATTGTTTTACTTTCACTTTTTTTTTTTTTTTTTGGATTTTGGAGGGGAAAACAGAAGCATCTTCAGTCACTAATTGGAAATGAGATCTACCATTTGTGTGGCATTGTCATTTTAAGGTTTTTTTTTTTTTTCTTAAACAAATTGGGTCTAGTTCTTATTACGTTTATTTCCCGAAGTCCTCTAAACTTGGATTCTTTTGACACAGATACATTTTACATATGAATCATGTGAAGATAGTCTTAACTTCATAAGAAATATGTCCCCACATCGTCCTCAAGTCATGTGGTTATCCCAGTACTTTTTCACATTCACAGAAAAGGAAAAGACAATCAGCTGAAATCTGGTGGGAGCAAGATAATGTGAGGTGTTGGCTCTGATGAGCCAAAGTAGAGAAAATCATGAAGCTCCCATCCTGGCAGAAAAGAGGAACAGAGGAGAGAGGGTAGTAGACGCGGCTTTCCTTTCCCCATGCGCTTCTAGCTGATGTGAAGGTAGAACCCCTGCCTGCCTGTGACGCCTGCCTGCACGTCTAACCCATGAGCCTGTGCTCCGAGGGGTTCCTAGAATGGATAGATACATCTGCAGGAATGCACACGCACACGCACATACAAACACACACACCTTTTTTTTATGGCAAAAAGGATTGGAAATCTAAATGTTGAGAGCAGAGTAAAAATCTGAAAGAATTTCATAATTCTAGAAATTTTTAGACTTAGAGTAAGAATTTCAAAGACATGGATAAATAATGGTAGCTGCCTCTTGAATACAAAGTATAATGGGACAGTTGCTTAAAATCCAAAGAATACTCTTACTATTGTTATCCAATAGTCTAAAGAAATGTATCGAGACTTACCCTCAGGTATTTACCTTTTAAAAAAAAAGGAGAAAACAAAAAAAAAAAAAAAAAAAAAAGGAGAAAACATACATCCACAGCCTGGCTAGGATAATGGCTAATGGGACATGCTATGCAGCCATTGTAGAGGGGACACTATTTTTAGGTACATTTTTATTTTATTCTTTTGCAATAACTTTAAGTGATTCTAGTAAAGATGGAAGTTTTTTTTTAAGGTAATTGTTTACTATAGTTAATTGCAAAGTATTTGCATTTCAGGTTGATGACAAAAAAGAAGAAGTAGGGATTATTGGTGATATTCTTTGAGAATTAACGCAGAACAGGCAGAAGGAGTGATTTTTTGGGAAAGGATAAAAACTGGAGTGTCTTTTCTACTTATTATAAGAATTCATATGTAATAAAACTTGAGTGCATCTCAAAATAATAAACTTTTATCTGTTCATGAACTCCCGTTAAATGCTTTATTTTTTTTTTAAAGCAGCCAAGAACTCCTTCGATGTTAAGGAAGAGCAAGTCATTTTCAGAGACTGTGCAGAAGTGTTCAAGTCAGGACTGACAGCCAACGGCATCTATACACTCACATTCCCTAATTCCACAGAGGAGATCAAGGTGCGGTGTTTGTCTTCTGGTTTCAAGTACCTGGCTGTAAACAGGGTATTTTAGAATAGAAGCAGGGGACCCACATAATGCAGTTCACACACCCAGACCCTTCCCAACATCATGCAAAGAAAAGCACCACTCACTCACTGAGCCTCTGCCTCACATGAAACACCTGCCAAGGGCTCCACGTCCAGTCACTGCATACATGTTCCAACCGGGGATATCAAGGACGCAGAAATCTCTTTGTCATCATGAGAAGATACATCTATCTCATATTCTCCTTGCATTTGACTTAATCATCGTTCTGTCAGTTTCCCTTCTGGTGTCAGGCTCATTTCATTGCTTTTCAAGAAAATATCCTCCGGATACTAGAGTTCAAATAACCAAATAGTTTGTCCTGTCGTGCTTTCAAGTAGCACCGGTGGTCCATCAAAAAGAAGTCTCATTTAGCTCACAGCTACAACAGCCACAGAAAGCTTTCCTGTTACACAACCGAGGTACCTCGGTTTGCAGAAGTTTACTAAAATTAATGGGTTTTACTCCTTTGTCGATGATGTCCCAAAGTGATTTTGACTTATTTTTTTCCCAGTTGCGAGGGTGTGACTGGAGCACACGGTGACTCAGACATAGGGTGTGCTTCTCCCTTCATCCATTCTGGGATGCTGACTTCCCCACCAGCACTAGTGTCCCATCAGTACGAACGCTGTCACAGCATCGAACACCAAAAATGTCTCATGTCATTACGGAAACAGTGTCAGCCTTATGGACTGGCAGCAAGGGTCTCAGGGACCCCCAGAAGTACACAGGCTACACCATAAGGATTGCTGGGGTTGGTTATTCTTACCCCATTTAACATTGGCTATAAGATTTAAAACACACCACCAAAGAGAGTGGCTCCTTTTCTTCTACAAAATTAGTACATAGCTTAACTCAATTTTTCTTAGTTATTCTGGATTAATCAGTGAGCATGGCTCCTGCTGTCGCTCTGGGAGACACTGAGCTTTAGATGGGAGTTGGGGGAGAAAACTAAAAAGGCCCAGGGAATATTTCAATGTGGCTTCTCAGAGAGGTCTGATAAGGTGAAATATTACAGGAGACTCGGTATGAATTGTTACATAATTATCAGATGACTATATATATTAAATGCTTATAAATATATCTGCATTTCGTTGTAGCTTCTACAAGTTGAACCAATGTAAACACTTAGAGAAAAAGCCATTGATATTGTAAAAAGATGGGAATTTTAGAGGTTCCTGGAACCATTATCTCTTTGAACTCAGTATTATCCTCCGTAGTTAAAATGCTAATAAGAAAAAAACACTTTCAAAAGTCTAAGCATTAAGGGTTTAAGTACATAGAATTTGAAACAGTAACATAGACTTTGATTATGAATTTAAAAGATAAATATTGTGCTATTCAAGATAATGCTTTCCAAAGAAAATCTTTCTAATTCATTCATGCTGCTTTAAATCAACCTTGGAAATCAGTTAATGTCCCCAGTGCTCTAGAAGCAGTGCATTAGCGTGGGCTGGTGAGGAATTATATATATATATATACACATACTGCCTGCTGCAGATGAGAAAGTAATGAACAAATCCTGTAGGAAGGCTCTCAATCCCCTTTGCAATCTGGTTTTCATAACAATCCTCTGTATACTACTGTCTGTCACCAGATGTTGGTCTCTTCTTGGCCTAGAGCAATGGGGACAGGGGTGGCAGCAGCAGGAGGGCAGAGGATATCTGTGCAATGTGCATGTTTTGCAAATCCAGAGGGCAACTGCTGATTACACGGCACCAACCCACTGCTCTGTAAATGTTTTCCTGACTAGTGCAGTGCTCCCCTCCCAGAGCACTATGTCAGCCCGATGGTCTCACTGAAATGTTCTCCAGCAAGCTGAAACTATACAGTCCTGGGAAATAACGGGAGTCTCAGGTCATGGTTGGAAACATCAGGATTTATATTTCTTTTAAACATTTGCAGTAAAAACAACTCATCGACACAGCAGGAAACAACAATCTTACCAAACCTCAAGTTTCTCATCTCTAAAATAAATGGTCCAGATTAAGTGGCTTCTAGATTCCCTTCCAGACTTAAGACCCCGTAATTCACAATCTGATTGAGGGAGAGAAAGTCTGAGAGACTGGAGTTTAAATTCTGGCTCTGCCAATCTGTGCCTCTAAGCACGTCATTTACCCTGTGTAAGGCCTGTTTCCGAATCTGTAATGTGAGGAAGTAACTGTAGTCGTGCAGTGATTTTGAGGTGACAATGCGCATACAGCACACACGACAGGACTTAGTACTTAACCATCTATTTGGGAAAACAAAATTGTTTACCATTTTGACTGCCCCCAAAGTCAAAGGAGACAACTTCTCTGCATTTTTCCCTGTTTCACCTAATTCAGGGAAAGAATGTTCAACAGATCTTTGGGCCAACCTTTTCCAAAAGAGCCTACATATTTCCACTTTGTTTTTGAAAAATTCATTAGGCTTCTGCAAAAGATAAAAACTGCATCAAAGACCTGTGAGTTTGCTTTTGCTGGTCAGAGACATAATAATGTCCTTCCCCAAATTTCACAGGGTGCCTGTCTCCTAGTGTTCATCTGGGTGATTACTATTTCTCAGTCATTCACCATGGCCTCAGAGCTGAAGCCTGACATTTAAATCAGGCACTACGCACTGAAAGGCTTCCAGTTTTAGAGCAAGATAGCAGGTCTCTGAACCATGCAATAGTGTGCTAACAAAAGTACTAATGCCCTCAGGTTTGTGGTAGCTGGAGCAGTGAGGTCTTGGGCATTCTCTGAGGAAGTCTGCTTTCCTGATGGGGAGATAAGCCATTTCATCGTTTGCACTCAGTGCCCTCTGGCTCTGTGGACAACTCTCTTTGAACACTATCTTCCTCTGAAAGCTTCACGACTCAGTTGACCATGATACTTCAGTTTCTATGAACTCCTTGTTCTTTTTTTTCTTTTTAATCGGAACAAAGAGAGATTAAGGGAATGTTCTAATCATCTCATCGTTGTCCCTGGTGGAGTTAGAGAATGGTACAGCTCAACCCATTTCCACACCATTATAAATGGGTATTGAACCCATTTCAACCCAAATTCCTTAGGCAGTCTAGACTCTGATTTTTCAAACAAGACAAACTCTTCTCTGATTTAAGTATCTGTGACTTTAGAACACTGATTTTGAATCAAATATTCTTGGAACAAGGACAGGCTCACTAAAAACCGTATCTAGTCTTTCCATCCACGAGCACGGCATTTAGGATACAGAGGAAATAACTTGTCTGTGCACATAAAACCCCTCAAACCAATATAGCGTCTTCAGCTGGTTTACTAAACTGTTTTTTAGAAGAAATATTGAGAGAAGTGAGCAGTCCATTGGGTGGACCACAGGCAAATTAGAAGCAGTATTATTCATGAACTGATTTCAAATTGGAGCTGCATTGAGGGACCTGGCCTACTAACAAAAGGGTCAAGTTTCCCTGTTTTTGCCAGCCTCCCGTGGCAGGAAAAAAGGTAAAAAATGAGGAATTTAGGAGACCTTACTCAAGTCCTATGTTCCACTTAATAGCTGAATGACTCTGGTCAAATTAATCTAACTTCACTACATCTTTTCACTAAATCTCTCCACCTTTCAGAAATGCAGAATTACCATATCACAACAACAGTGCTTCTAGATTGCAGATAACATATGCAAAGTACCCAGTGCTGTACTTGGAACAGAGAGGTGCACAGCAATGATAACAGGATCATTAGCGATAAGAATAATATCAATACAGGGAGATAATAAGGGGTCACCTTAGGCAGATCAACTTTATTTGTCCGGTTAATTTAAATTAACCAGAAATCATTTTATTCTTAATAAATGCAATCTTCTTTAATGGAACATTATGTTTCCAAATGTTAGGCTCATCAGGGAAAGCAATATGGGCCAAGGGGCCTTTGTGGAGAGAAATGGGAAGAGCGGTGGAGAGAAATCTGCTGGAGAACAGGGGTGCTGGGTTCCCAGGGCAGCTGTCTCATTAGATGAGGTACCAGGCAAGTCACTGATAATAGAAGACTGGATCTAGGTGTGCTCTTGGTTCTCTTTTATCCCCCATTCTTCAGGATTTTAGCTCACAAATGCAGAATACTTCACATTTAAACTTAGTCTACCAAAATTATCTCCATTATTTCCCAAAAAGACTGAGGAAAACAGCAGAGGAAGACTATTTCTAATTGGTTTTAAGTGATAACATTCATATTTACTACCTCGAATGCTGTAGGAAATTTTATCTTAACAGAATTTCTGGGAAAATTTTTCGTTCTACTATAATCTCATTATTTAAAACTATTTATGTAATCTTATTTGCAGGGGTTTTTAATTTCATAATAAAACTCCTGCTGAGTGGAAAGTGAGCATGCATGCTCCTGGCCCAAGAAGGAATTCTGTGTCTGAACAAAGTTTAAACCCACCACGCCAGTTTAAAAGCAAAAATAAAAAGAGCTAGGAGGAGAAATACCACAGGCAGTGAGCAAAGTGCAGAGAAGCTTGAAGTCATGATCCATGGCACAGAGCTGTCAGGCTACTCTCAGGTCACATACATCCTACTGGGTGCCCAGGGGCTGCAATGTCACATACTGAGGGACGAACCGAGAAATCGGACTTTTATCCCGCATGGAAAAAGCCTTCTAACCCCACAACATAACATAACAGGGGTCTTGGAAGCCCTACAGTGCAAAAGTACTCCTTCCACACAAATGTCTGCCGAGTTGATAGGGACCGACAACCACCACAAAGGTTTCTGGAGTCGTGAACACCAGCTGGTACATTTCTACAGGTGGGGGATGAGGGTTGCGGCCAAACCACCAAGACGTCCCAATCACAATACATCTCTAAGAAACGGCGATCTCTAGATCAGCGTTTGGGGTGGGTCTTTAGCCTAGCACAGATGATGACAAGAGAGTCCTATTCTCATCGACACTGAAATCGTGTTATATTACTGTTTATTTTTCATCATTATTTTAAATTCATGGTTTTCAATTTATTGAAAACCATCTGCTTCTTGGTCGACCACAAAGATTTACCCCAGGGAACCCTATCAGCACAAGTCGTATTGTAGGTATCCACATCTGTCTTGTTTCTGGGAGTTCAGACACAGCCCTGAGTCACTGGTGTTTCCCACGCAGTAACTGTGCACTTCCCATTGGCAGGCATACTGCGACATGGAAACCTCTGGAGGCGGGTGGACGGTCATTCAGCGGCGTGAAGATGGCAGTGTTGATTTTCAGAAGACTTGGAAAGAATATAAAGTGGTATGAATAGTCTTTAAGCCATCTGAAAATAATTTTCTTTGTGAAAACTAGCTTTCACGATCTGTTGAACCTTCACCACAATCCAAAACTAACCAAGGACTGTTGACAATTTTTGTTATGAAAGCGTTCCTCTTCACTGGTGTCTCAGTCTCCCCACTAACGAATGACCCCGTCAGTGTAAACTGTATATCAAAACAAAGGCATGCAAGTGTGAGGCTTATTTTTAATGGCAGGCTCTGCATTTTTCAGTAAGACAACAGTTTCACAGAACTTCCCATGGCAATAAACAAAGCTGTTTACACTCATGTTTCCACTGGTGATTCCCCAAGTAGTTCTAATTACTCCAGTCCTAATTTTCTTACAGTAGAAGCTTGGTTTCTTAAAATTGACCTTTAAAAAAAAAAATCTACTCCTGCTAAATATTTGGTAGTCATCCCATGTTAAACGGAGAGACTACTGATTTCAAATACATGGAGGAAAAAACAAATAAATGAGGTGACTGAATTTTACCACTTGAATTTCAGGGATTTGGGAACCCTTCTGGTGAACATTGGCTGGGAAATGAGTTCGTTTTCCAAGTCACCAATCAACAGCCCTACGTGCTTAAAATACACCTTAAAGACTGGGAGGGGAATGAGGCATACTCACTGTATGAACATTTCTATCTCTCCGGTGAAGAACTTAATTACAGGTGAGTTGTATGTAACTGAAAAACATTAACAGATTTGCTGGGTAAGCAGGCCACAAAGCGAGAGCCACACTGTGTTACAGGATCTGTACTGGGAGGACACTCTAAATGGAAAAGCATCTCTTTTCTTACTCTTCTGTGCTGCCTCTCAGGAAGTTTATCTAGTTCTAAAGTTCTAACTTTGGTTTTAATGATATAATGGAAACTTCATGAGGACAGCATTTTGTATCCTCCAAGTGTAGATGAACCTGCCTGGCAGATAATGAATACCATGGGTATTCAACAAGTATTTCTGAAATATGTGAATGCTGTGTCCATATTAGAAAAATGTCGTGCCAATATCATAACAGAGGTCTACCTATGACTATGTGGTTTTCTTCCAAAAGGTTTTAACAGTTAAATCTATCTTTCTGAAGTTAAAACACACTTGACTGCTATGTTCCACCCCAAAGTCAGGAAGAGTTACCGAGTTTAAAAGTAGCAGAATTAGGTGGGAGGGTTAGTCATTCAAGTCCTTTACTCTCCGCCGTAGAAACAACAGCCGATTCACAGCACTCCCTTAGTATTTGCCTTGCCCCACGCATCTGGCGGCACTGACGTTCAATGTTCCAAGAAAAGCATGGGCATCCCTGACTCAGAATTTAGTATCTAGCTCTAAAGTGGCGTGAGAATGGCGTGAGAGTGGAGAGCAGTGAAGGCATCAAAAGACGGGTGTCTGATGAGCATCAGCCTACGGCAGGAAAAAGCACACTCCTGCACGTGGTCTTGTGGAAAGAGGTGCCCAGAACCCCACATGCAAGGCTGGAGGGAGAACACTGAGATCAGGTGCCAGATGGCACCACGGAAATTGGTCTCGGAAGGCACCAAAGAATTGTTCCTTCCCCAACACAGCCCTGGAGGAGTCTCAGGAGCACGGGCACTCACATCCTGAAAATACCCAACACTGGGGTCAGAAATCAACAAAGTTCAGTAGGAACAGCCCAGAAAACAGTCACACGTGGCCTACAGTCCCACCTAAATCCCATTAATGCCCAACTCAGACCCTCTGCTCAATGGAAAATCCAACCTCTGAACAGCTTGGAAAACAAACATGATTTCAAAGTCCCTGAGCTGGTTTCCTCAGGGTCACAGTGAGGGAACAGCACAGAAACACAGCCTGAACCCCTTGCCCGAACTACTACAGGACAACTACAACAGAACCACTGTTCTAGAGTCCTCAACAACCTGAGAACTAAAGAACTTCCAGGATGTCCTGCTTTATAAACGGAGGTGGTGGGGGCAAAATTTTGAAAATTTTGAAGACAGGTAACGTACCCACGAACACTGACATGACTTTTAAAAAGTCAGTGAAACAGAGCCCGCCGATTCTCATTGTATGAGAGAGCAGGGCTTCCTTGGAATGATGCAGATGAATGAAAAGATAGGTGTTGAGGCCTCACGGCAGCTCCAAGCTGACTCCAAAGAGATCAAAACTTCAATGAATTTTTAGACACGAGTGGTTGGTCATTGTTTTACCTCCAAGCAAAATATTTTTTCAACTGGCAACAGTTAGGGATCTACAACAGAGGAATTGAAAAAAAAAATTTTTTTTAAAGAAAGAAACACAAAAATTAAGGATTAGACTGTTTATATAAGGAGATTTTACAAAATGGGTCATTACCCTTGTATGCTGACATTATAAAAATACTTTAAACTGAGATGATTCTTAACAGATACTTCCTTTAGAAATGTGACCAGTTTTGGGAGATGCCATTTAGAAAAGCACACATTCCTTTAAAGCTCGGTTTAACCTATGAGGCGGGGTACAGTACATGGAAGCCATGATTATCCCAGTAAAACACGGTGGTGTGATAAGGGACCGCGACATGGCTGAGTAATAACACAGGTGTCTCAGATTGCCACTCTCTGTAGCCACGAAGTTGGTTTTTTCCAAAGAAGTGTTCCCCAAATGCTGGAAAACTGAAAAATAAATGTCATCAGGAAAGGATAAATGCATCAATAGAATTTTTTTTTTCCCTAAAACTAAAAACTAAAGACTGGTCACTCTTCAAAAACATTCTGGCAGCCCTACGCGAACATGCAGATTTCATTATTCAATGCTGGCACTGCTTCTTTCACTCCACTGTTCTATAAACTCGAACTGATACCAATATAAAGCCATTTCAATAAATGTGGTTATTCTTAATAACTTAAAAGAAACCAACTATAAACCAGGGGGCCATATAATAGAAGGATCTAAAAATGATACAACCTTGCTCATAAAGACAAATAAAAGATAGCGTTCTCCCAGATTTTGCTCGCCTTTGGGGATGTTTAATGAGCCCCACAAGAACTGACATCGTTGTAAGGAGAGAAGAGGCTGGGAAGGAGAAAGGACACTTGAAGTGGTTTATCTCAGCCCCATCCATGATTAACGAGAAGGGCCTGGAAAGAAATTAAAGTGTTTCAGAATCGCAGAGATGAGTAGAACTTCCAAAAATGCTTTGCAGCAGGTAATCAGAGGCTGTGCCAGGGACCAGGGTCATTTTTGAAAGTGAGGATAACGCTGAAATTCAGAAATTCAGCCAGTGCCTCATGATGGGGGTTTCTAGGGTTACAATACTATAAGCAATTCTAAATCTAAGCTGTTAGCACAAAAGTGACTTAGAACCAACACATTATGGAACTCCACTTGGCATGCTCCTTACCCTCATCCTTTCATAACTCTTCCTCAATAAACAGACATCCCTGGCAAGGGTCTATCAGGGTAGAACCATAACAGAGGAGTTAGATGCATCTGGTACAAATGCTAGCTCTACCACACTGCTATCTCTGAACCTCGACAATTTTATATGTAAAACAGGAGAAGCACCCGCCTCTCAGGGCTGGCATGTGCATTCCATGTGCACATGTGCGAAAGTGCCCGGCACAGTCTGGTTAGAGACAGTCCCTGGAGAACCATTCCTCTCTTCTCTACCCTCTGTTCCAACATGAATTCTTGGAAATTATATTCCTTTCAAGGTAGTGGTTTAGCAAAAGATGAGCATCATTTTGGGGACTTAGAGTACAATTCTCCCAGGGACATTACAGGGGTTTTTTTGTAGGATCCCCAGGTCATGAAGACTCAATGGTCTGAACTCCCCGACTGCCATACCCCATGTCCCAACACAGTGGCATCACATCCCACAGAGCCACCCAGCAGCATGTGAAACCTACTCTGAGCTGTACCATGCCCATCTGCCAATGGCTCTCTGGAAGCAGTGCTACAACACTTTCTCTGTCCCTGCTCTCTCGCTCTCTTCTTTGGCATACACATGACTGATGCAAGCCAATCTTCTAAAAGTACAGGCTACTACCTGGTGTCAAACTTAATATTATGTTTATTCCTTTCTCAATGTCTAGCAAGTTCATTACAATACTACACAGAAAAGAAGCAAAGCAGCCGGAAGAATGTGTTTTCTATATAGTTCTATAGATTTCTACTCCAAATTCGATGATCTCTTCCTTGCCTACTAGTCTGAAAATCATGATGCTTTAAGTTGTCTGGTCATCTCAAGACTCTCGTTTCTGTACAGATGATGTCTGGAGACCTGGAAAGAGGACCGTTTCACACTGTATTTTCCCCATTCTGTTTATCTGAAAGCGGAGGGCCCTGAAGCCCCTGCTGATGCTTGTGCAAGTGATACGAGCTGAAGGTTTCATGAAAACATTTCTCATTGCCCAAGGATTTGATGATAAGTTGGTTCCTGTTTATACCAGTGCAAAAATATTATGTCCAGCATTAGTACACTAACCAGTACAGAATGCATTTCTGCAGGATGGAATTCTTCATTACAAAAAAATTTTTCCACTATGGTAAATTAACAGCCCAAGCCAATTATGTTATTTTCTCTTTTTTTTTTCTTTGCATGTTTGCAGGATTCACCTTAAAGGACTTACAGGGACTGCCGGCAAAATAAGCAGCATAAGCCAACCAGGAAATGATTTTAGCACAAAGGATGCAGACAACGACAAATGTATTTGCAAATGTTCACAAATGCTCACAGGAGGTGGGATGGCTTTTCTCTCTTCCTATTTGTCTTGGCAAGGAAGAATTTCATAGAGTGAAAGGTTGGCTATTTGGACGTGAACTTGTGATCGGTGACAATGTCCACATTTCATAAATAGACTTACTAGATGTAGGGAGATTTGTTTTTCACTTTTTCAGACTGTTGAGTCTGAAGAATGTGATGTGGAGCTGGAATTGTCCGCAGGCCAACTGTGTCTCTCCAGGACCTCACTCTGGCACAGGGAGGGGACATCTGAGAGCCAGCAAGCTCTCTTGAGTTTGTGCTCGCTGAGGAACAGATGTCAGAGCCACACTTTAATTTCATTTTGCTTTATCAAAGAGGTTGAAAATTCAAAACGGCAACAGAAACAGTGACATCGATTCATTAGCATAGAAGTGTTTCTAGTTAATAATTCATTCTGCAAACATGGAATTTCCAGGTATCTTTCTTCCAAGATTTTATTAATATACAGCAAATACCTACAAAGAAACTAATTGGCCAACCTGCTTTGTTTTTGCTTTTGTTTTTAGTGCACGAAATTAAAATCAACAGTTGTCCACTTTAAGTCAAGGTCTTTACGCTCATGCTTTTCTTACTCCCTACTTTTCGTATCAGACTGCTCTAAAAAAAGAATCCAAACCATACCCAGGAGCAAGAGACAATTTTAACAGACACTTAAAATGGCCAGATTAGTATCCAGCAACATTTAAGAGTTCAAAGACAGGGACCAACTGCTAGAAAATTTACTCTTCCAATTTCTAAAAGTTTAAAAATCAAATGGCCAGAACCAGTTAATTGTGACCAAGACAAGAAAAAAGCTTGATAAATGCTATCAAGTGAGTTCTTAAAAATATCGAAAGACTTAAACCAGCAACAAAGATTCTGCTGAGAGTACAAACTGAATGTAAAGGCAAACAGCAAGTTGGCAGGTTTCATTTGCAGAGACCACAAATTATGTTACCAAACTTTCATTCACTACTCACCCAGGAAAGAAAAAGGCAGGAGCCACGGTCAGTTAATTTGACAAACAGAAGGCCACTATTGCCAGGAGATCAAAGCTTATCACGTGGTTTGCACATCAGTTAAGAATCATTTACAGTTGAAAGAAAGGATTTATTTATGAAAATAGTTTGAAACTCAATAATTTGTATATCTTTAAAATAATCCTGAAAGAATTAGAATCCATTAAATAATCAGTCCTGTGGTTCTTTAGATAATATATAGATAATATATTATCTATATATTATCTATATTTATAGATATAGATATATAGATAATATATAGATAATATATATATACCCCTATATCTATAAATATAGATAATATATTATCTATGTATCTATGTATCCACATAGTATATGCCGGCAACACAGGTCTTCTCTATTAGCTATCTTTATTTCAATAATTGTCTCGATGATAGGACTGTGTAAAAGCTGCCTCTCTCCCTCACCCTAAAAAGGGGGAAAGGGGCGGGTTGGGGGGACCAAATGTGCTGAATCCTTTTTTTCCCATCTGCCATTCCCACACTGAGCCCAGCTGTGCACTCGAGAGGGTGGTGGCTTTCAGACCACCCATATGTCATGAGCTACTCAAGAGAGTAGGAGAAGTGCATTAATAACCAAGGAAACAATATGTTTATTTACTCAAATCAAGACTTAGGCTGAGAGTAGAAATGGGAAAGAGAGGGGGGAGAAACACACAGCCCGAGAGAGAAAGTGGAGCAGTGGGATGTCAGATCCCATCCCATGGTCTGGGCCCAGGTAATCCAGCCTAGCGACCAGCTAGGCTTTGCAGGGACGGCTAGCTCTATTGTGACATGAGCCAAGAGCCTCTAGGATGGACGGATCTGTAAGTCTGTGACACTCCTGAGTATTTTGAAGGATTCTGAATACACACACAAATGTCTTATCAAATCGACGTTAATCTGAACCAGCTCAAGTCATGAGCTGTAACTGAATGAAATAATTGATCATCACAGTCCAACGTGTAAATATAATAATACAATCTTTTAAAAAAAATTACATCATCATTCTTTTTACATCAGCTTTTTTTTTTTTTAAAGAAATAAAGTTTCACAGATACAACTAAAGCTGTCCTGCCATATTTGCCCATGGGTGGGCAATGAATTCAGGTTCATTCACGTTAGTTATTTATGTGCTAGGTATGCGGATATCATGAGCAGTTGTTTTTTCCTATATTCTGAAATCTTACATAAATGGCATCATACTGTATGTGTACTTCCAACGCAATGTTTCTAAGATTCTTTTTAATATTTTATTTACTTATTTGACAAACAGAGATCACAAGTAGGCGGGGGGGGGGGAGCAGGCTCCCTGCTGAGCAGAAAGCCCGCGGCGGGGCTCGATCCCAGGACCCTGAGATCATGACCCGAGCCAAAGGCAGAGGCTTTAACCCACTGAGCCACCCAGGCGCCCCTGTTTCTAAGATTTATTGAGATTACGTGGATCTAGGTCATTCCTTCTCCTTGAAAACCAGGCTTCTGGCACACTCTTGTTTCTCCACTGAGGTGTCAACGCAGACCTACCCCGCCGCCCTGTGGCTGTGCCAGGTGGCTTTCCTCTCTTTAGTGAGCACGCCACGATCACTTCCAATTTCCTTTTTGTCTCTAGGACTTAAAGATTTCCTTTTCATCCAACTCCCCCAAGTACTTAAAATTTGGAGTCATTTAAAAAAAATATATAGATAGATAGGTAAATCTATCTATATATATATCTGGTAGAAGGAGGGAAGCCTGAACGATCTGGCCCCCTAAGCTGCTAGAAACGGAGAGTAATCCAGTGAGAATCTTCCACCCATTCTTTAGTGTTTTGACTTATCCACACCTTCCACTGTACTGTACTGGTCACCAAGTCGGGACCAGGGAACACGTGCCATTCATGTCAATGGGTGACGGGTCTTTCCACACAAGGAAAACGGAGTACAACAGCCTGGGAAAACATGTGCCATATGGGACTAGGAGCTGACCTGGGTAAAGCTGGAAAACCACGGCTCTCATATGTCAGCAGGGCTCATTCTATACCCCTGAATATTTGCGTGCGTCTACTGAAAATGCACGGAATGTGACGGGTAGATGAGCCCAGTGTTTCCAACGCCACGGTGAGATCCAGCTGGGGCTGCCTAGTTCCTAACTCCTTCTGCGCCTTACTTTCACAGGCTGGTGGTTTGATGCATGCGGCCCCTCCAACTTGAACGGAATGTACTACCCACAGAAGCAGAACACAAATAAGTTCAACGGTATTAAGTGGTACTACTGGAAAGGCTCAGGCTACTCGCTCAAGGCCACAAGCATGATGATCCGACCAGCGGATTTCTAGACGCCTGCACACACCTGAGGAGCGGCGCCGATTATGCGACTTTTAGAGACCGAAGCCCAAAGCTCTAATAGACAAGGCTGCGTTCGGCATCCCCGTCCACCTCAGACAGGCCGCATGCGCTCGGGGCCGCAGGGGTCCGCATGCTCCAGCCCAGAGCCCCAGAAGCCTCCTCACTCGCACCCGCATCACCCATGCGCCAGCGCACAGCCCTGGTAGCGTGACCCGGCAGAATGCCTACATCAAGATACAACTAAGCCTGCGAATTCAAGACTGACGATTTACAGACTCTGTTGTCACAACCAAGAATGTTGTGTGGAGTTCATCCGTAAATAACTGGAAAACAGAACACTTGGGCTATACAGCAGAGATAACCTTGGAGCTGCACTTTTCTCAGCCCTGTTTATAGATTGTGTAAATATCCATATGCCCTGAAATCAGCATCACTATCGTAATTGAAAGGAAGAAAGAAAATCTCTAAGCCATAAAAATATATTATATATTCAGGGATTTTTCTGGGAAGTGCTTATTCGCAGTTTAATATTTGGAGAAGGGAAAAACATAGTTAATGCATTTTGCTCCTCCTCTTAGGTGCTTTAAACTTTCATTTTGAAGTCAGCATATTTACGAATGTGTTGACAGCGTAGTTTTAAGTTAATGCTCAAATATGTATTTCAAGTTTAAACGGTGAAAGCTTCCAGGATCTCTGAAGTTAATAGAAATGTGTGTTCTTTCAGTTTATATGAAGATTGTACTATTTTTTTTTTCTGCCTGGCTGTTAAATATGAAGGTATTTTTAGTAATTAAATATAAATTATTAGATAATTACATTTAACCTTTATGATAATATTTACGATTTTGTGATTTGATTCTGAAACAACCGACTGTGCCTCATGACAAGGAAAGATCTGATTTTTAGTGATGAAGAAAATTACACATTTAATTCCATGACAAAGAGACTTTACTATCTTTTCCTCACTATTCTATTAGAAAGGTCCTTTCTTTTTTCTCTTCTAGTAAGATACATTTTAGAGATGTAAGCTACAGTTTAGTTTGTGGTTGAAAAAACCTTCTATTTAAAGCACTTACAAAGCTATTCTTCTCAAGCTAAGCTAGATTCACCCCAAAGTCTTTTTTTTAATGTCCACTAGCAAATGTTAAAAAAAAAAAAAAAAAAGGCATTTTGGAATGCAAAAACAAAATCTGATGTTTATAGTAGATTCAAATCCTTATAGAAAATTCTGAAAGCATGGATTTAAGCTCAGGGCTGCAAAACTATTTAAACCACTAGAGTTTTAACTCATTTGAAGTTTTCATAGAACAATTAACATTAATGTACATTGTGTAATGCTGTATAATTTGGAAGCAATTTCTCACGTATTTGCCTTGGAGTCAGCTGCTGCTAGGAAGCTTAGGGCCAAATTTGAAACTGGCATTTACCTCATGTTTGTCTTCACCTTACGTTGTTCTATTACTATGTTTTTTCTTTATTCCATTTTTTCTTGTGTAATTTATTTTCCCGCTCTATGCCCCCACCCGAACCCCGTTTGAGAACGGTAACACTCACTGCACGATTCGAGTCAGGTCATGGACTCTGGAAGAGTCAGGCACACCGCTCTGTCCACCACTCCGCCGCACTTCCCCGACAAATGCATGGAGTAAAGAACCTTCCCATCTCTGAGTGGTTTCTCTTGTTACATTTCAGTAGGCTTTACGAGTTCAACAGAGCACAGCTTTGTACCAAGTTAAAACATTATCTGGTCCTAAGAAGGTATCTCCACTGCACAAGAAACCATTAAGCTTCTGCCATATCTCAACAGCCACACAGCAGACACAGAAGTGGAGAAATGACAGAATGGGAAAACTGGCAACAACATACAACATACAACACCATGCAGGCAGGTGAAATGCATTTCAAAGACAAGCCGCACTGGGTTACACAGAGTTACACGTACTCTCTTATGACAGAGAGTAGGGGGATTCGAGTTTTACACTGCAATTCCTTACGTGGTATAGCAAACAGAGTCGTGCCAAGAGAAATGTTTTTTTTTTTCTCCTTAAGAAAATATTTATGCAGTGGAGGGAAAATCAACACGATAATCTTAAAAAACAAAACAAAAGCAACCCAACAACCTAGATCAGTCAGTGAGGAGAGGGCAACATCCTATGCATCCTCAAACAGCAAATAACACCAACCCTGGCCACAGACTAAGGCTGCTGCTTCTTACTCAGGTTATTAACCTTCCAGAAGGATAAACTATGTCACAAACCAGCTAACTTTTTTGAAAATGAAAGCCAATATCTACATGATCCTGTTTCCAATTAAACCTGAATTCACCTATTTAATTATTACTTAATCTTTAAAAAATTTAGAGCTTCCATTAAGCACTAGAAATATTTAAAATTTAAAATGCCATAAAGCTGAAGCTGCATTTAGGAAGCGCATCAGGACACAAGGACACATCATGCTGCTCGCAGTCCGTGACTTTTATACCTATCAGTTCTATCTCTACGAGCAGTAACAGCCTGATTTCTTAAAGCAGTAAATGAAATACTATACCACCTCCTCAAGAATCTAGTCCTTTTTCATTTCTTATTTTTCTCAATCCTGAGGACTTTCATAATAAAAATTCTTTAAGATTTCATTCCACAGGATTTTTTGCAGAATATTCTCCCATTTCCACATTTGTTCTCACAAATGGATAATTTATTTTGAAAACATCTATGAAAGTATGTTTTTAACTGTGAGCATAATGGGTCTTAACTTAAAAAAAACTTGCATCCATATCTATGCAAATAGTAATTTCCTGAGAATTCCAAATTGTATTTACCATAATAAAATAACATCTGACTTACAGAAGCTGCAGGGAAGTAGTTAGAAAGTTCAAACGGTTCCTCGGAAATCCAGTGACCCAGTTCCAAAGACCACAGTACCTACAAGTGACACAATAAGCAGAACATTTATTATAGATTCATTAGCCTCTCAGTGGATAACAAACCACTTTGAAGATATAGCCAAAACAAAACAAAAAACCCAGCAGTGACTACACACTCCATAGATCTGAACCAGATGTGTCTTACACACCAAAGTACCATCAGAATCTTCATGCCGCATCAATCTTATGCATAATAAATGTTTTTCTTTAAGGAAAAAGGGTTCCAATGACTAGAAACCTAGGTTATTATCCTACTGAGGCCAAATACTAACCACCACCCCAATAACAAATATATGAAATACCTTTTTAAGAATTCCAAGTTTCCAATTTAAGGAGTCATTATAGACAATCCTCAGTAAATATTCCAGGATTTTATTAATTTAAAAAAAACATTTATTAGGAGAAGACAGATCATAAGCTTAAATTTAAAAAGCAGTCCTTCTGGCATGTGACTTTGTTTCTAACATGGACTAATATTTCCAAAAGTTCTCCTAAAACATCTGAAAATCCTTCCCAGGCTTTGGAAGGATAAAATGTTTCATAAACAAGCTTTCAGTATTATTATTTATTATTGTTATTTGAACCCAAATATTTTAAATGATCAAAATAATGTGTTTTTTTATTATTTTATTTATTTATTTGACAGAGAGAGATCACTAGTAGGCAGAGAGGCAGAGAGAGAGAGAGAGTGGAGAAATCAGGCTCCCTGCCAAGCAGAGAGCCCGATGCGGGACTCGATCCCAGGACCCTGAGATCATGACCTGAGCCGAAGGCAGAGGCTTATTAACCCACTTAGCCACCCAGGCGCCCCTGTTTTTGTTTTTAATTCAATAATTTTTAAGATTCTACAGTCATCTCTACTTGATGAACAAACTCCCTGAAAATCTGTTTCTATTTCCATGCACCAATAGAATTTTATAACAAAAATAACCAAACTGAATTACATATCCCATATTTATTTTTCATCCGCAATTTCATTTCTCACATTCATTGAATCTACCCTCTTTTCTACAATTGCTACATACAGCTCAAGTTCATTTTGCTGAATTACTGGGGATGAGGAGAGAGTTTTCCTGTTTGGTAGCTCCTAAGATTCAGACCCCATCTACGGGAGCGTGGTCTTAAATATTTCTAAGAAAAAGTGAGCATGCTGGTGGAATAAAGACAATAACGAGATACAGACTCTAAATGACAATTCTCAGCACTGGTCTGGATCTTACTTTAAAACTGATGCATTTATTCCCTCAACATTGTTTTCTTCATCTCACTAACCGTGTGTCTGTGAACAACATATTGAGAGCCTACTGTGAATAAGAACCCACGCTAGGTCCTGAAAACACAAACCCAATCCCAGAGGAGTTCACCCTCTGGCAGGAGGCATGAAGGCAAACCACAAATGGTGATTTCTCAAAACAGCTCTGTGGGAACCTATAGAAGAAGCAAACTAACTCGGTCTAGGAGAATCAAGGAAGGGTCCACAGATGACATTTTAAACAGAGTCTTAAACGTTGAGTAAGAGTTCATCAGACAGAGAGAGACAGAGTGAGGAGGGGAGAGGACATTCCAGCACAGACAGAACACCACATGCCAAGGCAGGATTAAAGTGGGTTCTTTTTTTGGCTAAACTGTGTTTTGGAAGAAGTGTAAGAAAACTAGGTTGGTTAGATTCCTATGGTGAGGTATAATAATATACCCTGTTTCTATCCCTGTGTCTGCAGGGGCATTAGCACATGGCAGAAGAACAATCCAGAAAAGACAGGAGAAAGCTCTAAGGGCTCTGGGCACCAGATGACAGAATGGGAATGGAGTATAATACAGGGCAATGTGTCTTCACTATAGAGAGAGGAAGTAATGAGTCATGTTCTCAAAGACCCTAATTCCATCTTCACTTAGATCTGTGTGTATGCAAGCATTCTGTCATTTAAGTCTCCTTTTGCTTTCCCCTGATTTTACTGGCCAACTAAATTAGACAGATAGATAGATGGAGATAGATAGATAGATAGATAGATAACTTCATAAGTTCAGTGAAAGAGGGTATGAAAAAAACGGTACAATGAAATCATGTTTCTACCTGGCTCTGTAGAGGTGGTTAAAATATTTAAGTCACACAGTGTTTGCCTTGCTTTTATCAGTGTATGGTATCATCTATAGAGACATGCTAACAACATCTGTGTGGTTCCTTACAGATCTGTGATTAGATTAGGAGGTAAAGTACAAAAAGCTTCCAAATCAGGTTCACATGAAGCAACGTGGATAGTGAGAAACATAATGTACCAGTGAGAGAATCCAAGGAACCAGTCTTAAAAATGCGTGTGGCATTTGAGCTTAAGTGTCATCCACATTAAAATGTCAGCCGAACCTCCTGGAGAAAATTTATGTTCTCTGAGTTTGTCCCTTTCTAAATGTTACGAAAATAAAACCGTAAGGCATCTATAGTAGAATTTTGGCAAGTGAATTAATAAATTAAATTTATCCAGGCATCCCAGGAATTAATATTGAACAGAGATAGCAGAAAACAATGATTTGATTGTAATGAAATCATCAAATAGAAACATAGTGCAAACTTCAAGCTTAGTTCTTTCATTAGCCGAAGTTATCTGTAGCTTCATAGAATATTCAATATTGGGAATATCTCCTCTGCAAGACCACAGTTAAGGCTGTAAGTGGACTAAAAGTTCAACCCAACATATTTCCCATCATATGTGTGACAGAATAAAAATAAGATGTATTGGGTTTGCATAAATACAGAGAACCAAATCCCATGTTTATAGTCCTTAAAACGAGGGCTGAGTTATTTCAGCAACCACTGTGAATGGATATAATATTTCTGACATGTTGAAACTGCTGTTCATAAAATTTGAACCCTGTTGATGAATTTAAATAGGAACCACTTGTCTTATTAGATTAACAGCTACTGGTAGGACAAATTTCCACAATGTAGGAGTGACCACACAGTTTATTCCATACCAGGCAAAACGCAAACGGTCTTCTCTCATTTTATACACATCTAATCATTTCATTTGAACAAAATGAGTCAGTGCAGCTACACTGAACCCAAGTCAGAAAATGGCACTGGTACTGAAAGCAAGTCGATAATACCATTTACAAGGAAGACAATGAAGGTGACTTATGGTTTACGTGTAGCAAGATGAACACATCTTAATCTTCACCTTCTCCCCAATACTCAACTAAAAGGATAGAATTAAAAAGCATGAGAAGAGCTTACAGCAGATAAAACAGGATGTTTTGGAAGTTCCAAAGCAGACACATAAATGGTAAATGACTTAGAAGGGCAAAGAAAGTTCAAACTTAAGTGTCTAGAGAAAGAGGTCCATAGGAAGCACCCAATTCTCTCCACAGATTCTCCAAAAGGCAAAGAAATTGGTGGTACTGGATACCTCTAAAGATGGGGTATAGAACAGAGTAAAAAAAAGAGACATTTCCTATCTCGTAGCCCACCTCCCATGGAATAAGACAAAAGTCAAGTCAGACAGGCTGTTCTGAGAGCAACGGTGGAAACACTAGGAAAAACCTCTCCAGACCTCCCCCTGGGACACCAGCCATTCTTTCCTGGGGACAGAGATCAGCCCAGGGGAAAAAAAGACATACAAATACTAAAGCTTGGATCTCAAAAACCTCCATTCACATCAAATTATCTATATACCCCTCAGGCAGGCAGAGTTTCAGTCAGCTTTTCAATGCCTCATTATTGAACATGACTTTATACCTATTTGATTAAAAGCCTCTAGCTTGAAAACATAGACCAAACCAAATAAGAATGGAATTCCTGGGATCGCAGTGATGGGAAGTCCCTGGCTAACAGCAGCTCTGCAGACCTCAAGAGAGCCAGTCTCAAGGGGAAGAGAACAAATGGGCTCATGGGTGGGGTCTCTGAGAAAAAAATAAATGGGGCTGGAAGATAATCTGGTGTGGAGACAGATCTCAGAGAATAATTACAATGGTTTTAGAAATTCTTGCATTCGGTGATAGTTGCATAGAAAACTAAGCAATCAAAATAACTGTCACTGATTAGCTCAGGAAAACCAGCAAACACAAATCATTAGAGACGAGTCGTAATACTTTACAAGGCTCAGTTCAAAGAGCATCCACATACTCATTCTTGTGCGCGCGCGTGTGTGTGTGTGTGTGCGCGCACGCACACGTGCACATGTGAATGTGTTTAAATGTATATACAAAATGTTTTAAAAAATTGTAACCACATTGAGTAGACTGGGGAACAGAAGAGTAGGTGGTACTGAAAGGCAGCCATATGTCCTATTTTGGTCTTCTAGAGAAGGAATTCTACAGGCAATGTCTCAAAGTGAATTTTTTAAAAAATGGCAAGAAAACCACTATATTTAGAAATATGTAAGTAACATATCAGGAGGCTACTTTAGGAGTGAAAAATCAGACTGGGAAACAAGAAGGCATGAGGTGCCATTTTTTATTATAAAGGCACATTAATTATACTTGGTTTTTAAAAAAAAAAACACTTTATTTTTAGATAGTTTTAGACTTACAGTACAGAGAGTTCTCATTTAACCATCACCTAGATTTCTCTATTGTATGATTATCCAACTTAACTTCACTCTTCTATTTCAAAAGTGCTTTGCAACTTGAACCAGCTCATTGATATCTACAAGAAAATCTTGCTGAGCCTGTAATTGGAACTAAGTTGAATCTATAGATCAAAATGGGGAGAACCAAAGAGAAAGACAAATACCATCTGATTTCACTTACATGTGGAATCTAAAAAACAAAACAAACAAAACAGAAACAGACAGGGAACAATCCAGTGGTTGCCAGAGGGGAAGAAAGTAAGCAGATGGGCAAAATAGGAAAAGGGGAATAAAAGTTACAAATATCCAGTAATAAAATAAATAAGACACCGGATGCAATGTACAGCATAAGAAATAGAGTTAATATGTAACAACTTTGTATAGTGGCAGAGAGTAGCTAGATTACCATGGTGATCACTTCCTAATGTATATAAATGTT